AGCAAACCTTCAAGAATGGAAACTGGGAGCTGGCCGCCAACTAGAATAGAGACTCGGCAACAGAGACCCGTTTTCAAATGCCCAGCAGAGCTCAGTCAAGCAGTAGGGGCCTTTGCAACCCATAAAGGACCACCTTCTCTATTTTACAGATGAGGAAACCGAGATCTGGCCCGGGATGCTGGCCTGCGAAAGCGCCCACAGGCAGCAGAGAGGAGGCCGGATCGGTCTGACTCCAAAGCCCATGTTCTCCGCACGGAGGCAGACGTGCAAAGAGAGGGAGTGAGGGGCATCCTTCCTACCCCAGGCCCAGGCTTCCCACACACAAGCCTGCCCTGGAACTTGCTCGCCTCTCGGCACAGGGGTGGCACTGGTAAGGGTGTATTCACTGAAGTGCATGGCCTGCGGCCACCCTTCTGCTTAGGTGGCTGGGCCTCGGCAAACACCCACGGTGTTCCAAGAAGGCTGAGGCTGAGGCTTTGCCGGATATCAGGCGCAAGAAGGCTGGGGAAAACCAAAGACCCAGAGGTCCCCCTTTCTGGGACGTCAGAGAGAAGAGGATCCTAAAATCAGGGTGTGCTACACTGGACACCACCTGAAAGGTAGGGCGGCTCACGCAGGGCTTCAGACAGTGGTCGCCTGTTCAAAGGTACATTCCGATTCAAGACATGTGCAGTGGGAATTACAATTCTCAGCCAGGATCGAACCGGAAAGAGCAGATCGGCATTTCTCACGGATCTGTTCCCCAAGGTCAGTGCTATCACCCATCTCTCCACGTCACTGAATCTCCTGAGCAAGCACTCTGAGCATCTTCTGAGGAGCACCCTCCCATCTGGGGATAACCTGCCTTCCTTTCGATCTCACAACGTTTGACCTTTGCCTCTCCCATCTTCCACGTGGGATTGGTGGAATTTGGTATCTGCCCGGTCTATTAGAAGAGAACATTGTGGGTGCAAGTGGGAACCTTTCGGACAACATACTGGGGCCCCCACAGCCATGTGGGAATGCTTTGGTTCCCAAAGGCACAATGTGTCTCATCAGAGGGCGAGAACACAGAAGAAGAATCACTGATTATGGTAGACGCGGCAGGCTCACTCTCCCGTCTCCTGTGGGTGTCAACTGCTGAACTGAAATAACAGTGAGAAAGGGCTCCCATGGAGGAAGGGGTTGGCATGAAGAGACTACCCTGCTGGCATAGTGGTTACACATTGGGCTGCTAACCCCAAGATCAGCAGTTCTAAACCACCAGCAACTCCACT